AATAAGTTAATTGGTTGGTTGGAAAAGTGAAAAGTAAAGTTTCTAAAGTGGCTATCCTCAAGTGTGATTTTGTGTAAACTATATATGAAGTGTGGAAAATGAGGAATGCATACTGTTTTGAGAAGCACAACAAAAGTAAAGATATAGGAATCCAAATTATTGATAAGGTTGTCTGTAGGTGTTGGTTAAAGCCCAAACTTAGACATAGATTGAGTATTTTGATGATGCCTTAGGTAGTTGTTATTTGTTTTGTTTTTTTGTGGCTAGATCTATGACCGCCTTGTTTGTAATTGTTTTGGAGTTTAATAAATTTACATCTAATGTTTTTGCACAACTACCAACTGAGCTAACTTAATGAAAGACTTTGATTTGTATTTTATTATTTGAAATGTATGTATGAACACTTTTAATATTATTTTAATTTATTAAATTTTATGTTTGTTTGAGTTCGAGACAAATTCATTTGGAAAAAGGACTATTTCAATTTTAAAAAAAGATGTTATTTAGTACGACTTTATCTACCAACTAAACATTTGAATGCTCATCTAATTTATTATTAAAATACATAACTTTCATGTTTGACGGATGTGCCATATGCTAGTCACTCACTTCATTTGTTAAATTTTGTCTCGTATAAGTAAGGATTATCATTTTAATAAGGAGAAAACTTAGATATAATTTCATGTGTGGTTCATACTATTTTCTAATGAAAATATGACAAGTGTATAATTTATTCTTACACATATACAATTTCCTCCCATTTTCACTCTTTAAAATACATTTAAGCACACTTATCATATTTTCATTGGAAAATAGTAAGAACCACACCTATGAAATTGTAGGTAAGTTTTCTCCTTTTAATAAATTGATTCTGATGCATGAATTGGCGGAACATGATACCTTAATCAGTTTTAAACGGATTTTAAATTTAATTATTTATTTCTATTTGGATTCAAGATTGCTAACAGTTGTCCAATTGCCACATAGAAGAAAATAGAATTCATTGAACAATGAAGGAGAATACAAAATATTATCCAACTTAATTCTATTGACTAATCTAAAGTAGTATTTATACATTTGCATAGAGTGTAACTTCCATAAAAAATAAATAGCTAAGCCGTTATAACAACCTGTATAGAAAAAAGACAACTTAAATAGACTTTAATTAGGTTTAACACCCCCTCCTCAAATTGGAATGTATATCACACGGTCCAAGTTTGTTGATAAGCATGGAAAAAGGGCCCAACTGAAGGGGTTTCTTGAAAACATCAGCAAGTTGTTGTTTGAAATGAATAGACATATGTTGAATGGTTTTGTCTTGGACTTTGTCGCGAACAATGTGACAATCCATTTTTATATATTTTGTTCGTTCATGAACTTACAGGTTAATGGCTATGTGAATGGAGAAACAATTATCACAAAAGATGTTCACAGATTGGGAGTGAGAGATTCCTAGTTCTTAGAGAAGATAAGCTAACCATTGAGACTCACAAGTAGCGTTGGCCAAAGTGCGGTATTCCTCCTCGGATGATGAGCGAGAAAAACACCCTGTTTCTTACTTTTCCAAAAAAATGAGAGAACTACCTAGATAAAAGCATAAGCTCGTAGTATATTTACGAGTGTCACTACAAGAGTAGAATTTTTGAAATGGCTGGCAACGAACGTTGCCATATTATTAATATCACGAGGTTCCACAAGTTTCTCAGCAGTTGACATAGAAGTATTCCTTTGTTGTCTTTTAATGTTATCACGTGGTACCCGAGAATTACCTTTTCTATCATTAGCTTTTTTTTATATTTCTATACGGAAATTCTGCACTCTTCCTAAAAGACCCATTTATAATCTTTCTTTTATGTTATCACATCATTCTCTCTCTGTCGATTATGTGTGATCTTTTGCGAGATATTCTCTCCCATTATTTGATTCTCATCCAAATTCTCAACTTCTAGGATATCTTTACCTAAAATATCAAATCTTGATCCCATTCATTTCTCTCCAACATTAAATGCTATTGGAACATTCATCGGATCACCATACACCACCGTCAAATGATTCTCCTTATTTTTTCTTGGATTTTGTTGTTTATTGAAAATAGACCAAGGATCATATTGCACCTTAATACCACCTTGAATACCATTGGAGTCCATATTATTTTTTCCCTCTTAGAAACCATCTCCCTCCTTAGATACTTGCGTTGCTTTCTCTCCACAACCTTCCATATAGTGACCAAACATGCCACAGTTGAGACATAACAAATGTAACCCTTCATATTCCACCTTACAAACCCTATCCCTAATTATGAACATAACAAGTAGTGCTTTTGATAAATCAACCTCCACACACAGTTTTGCATACTTGCCTCGTTCTTGAAGAAGAGTTTTCTAAATCAGAGTTCAAAAGCATTTTTAAGAAAACATTTGAATATTGCAGCGGAAAATCAGAATAAAAATATGCAGAAAGTAAAGATATAAGGGTAAAAACATGACATCAGAGGATTTATAGAGGTTCGATCTAAATGAAGTGACCTACTTCTCTCCCTAAAAATTAATCTTGAGAGTATCCAATAATGCTTATGAGTTTTTAGAAGGTTAAGCTCATGAACCCCCTTATAGAAGAAAAAAATGAAGTTTCAGTTAACTTCTAGCAAAACAGAGAACATTGGAATGAAGCAGTTAGTCCTCCTTCTAAATACAAATGCAACTTCAAGCGGTTAGTCCCTAAGGTAAACAAAGATTTTGTACATACTTATATAGAACAAGTGGACTATTTTGAACCGACAATCCTCCGAATTAAATTGAGGTTTTACACGGGTTGACCATGATTCGAACCAAGATTTTACACCAAGCTAATCTCAAACAAACTAAGTTTTTAACCGGGCTGAGCTCAAGAACCAATAAAAATATTTTTGACTAGTTATCAATATTACCCTTTCTAGAACAAACTTCCTCACTTAAACACAAGAATCTTTCTCAATGCACTATGGCCAAATTTATGTGAGAGAAAGAAAAAATATTTTTAGCGAGAGAGAGAGAGAGAGAGAGGGAAGAGAGAGAGAGAGAGAGAGAGAGAGAGAGAGAGAGAGAGAGAGAGAGAGAGAGAGAGAGAGAGAGAGAGAGAGAAGGTAGAAGGTGAGATAAATCATGTGTCTGGATGTGAAAAAGTGAGAGGATGGACCTCTTTTTATAGGCCTAAGGTTGATTCGAAAAAGGAAATCATCCATTGTCAAAATTACTTGTCCAATCGATTGAGTCATCATTCCAATCAATTAGATGACTTAAATAATCGATTATTTTTGTCCATTTTAAAAAGATTTGATAAAGAGAAATTACCATTCATTAAGACACTGTCACAATATATTATAGACTCCTTTTTCCCTTATCCAATCGATTGGGTATATGGTCCAATCGATTAGACAGTTCAAAAAACATGTCCTAATCATTATGTAGATTTTCAATTCATTTGGCTAGACTCAAAATATTTTTAGGTTATTTTCTTTGAGAAATAGAAACTTTAAAAAGAGTTTTAGTGAATGTGTGATTTAGTCATATTACTTTGTGAAAAAATCCTTATGTTTTTCAAACCCTGATCACTCAGACACTATTAAGCGAGCTTTCATACTTCCTCTCTTTCACACTATGAAGCTTCAAGTCTTTTTCCAAATATACCAATCACATAAGCAATTCACTTGAATCTTCAAGTCGGACACCGTCATTAGAGGATATCACAATGATAATTAAACTCTGACTCTTCAACTTTATTTGGAGGAAGAGCTTGAATAAACTATCTTGTGCATCTTTGACCGCTTGATATAGTTTTAATACTTGTTTAAGTTATATCTTCATGAGTTGTCATCATCAAAACCATGATGAGTCTAGGCATATTTTGCTTAACTTTGATCACTTCCTCTGCAAGCACATGGTTCCACACTAATTTCCATGATTTGCCAATTCTTTCCTCTTGTTTGCTGGAAAGTATGAAAGCTAGACAATAATATTAACCTATCTTCATTTCTTCTACCACTAGACACTTTTCCTCACCACCGATTCATTGAGAGATTCTTTATTTCTTCATGTGTCAAAATAAAATCATTATACCATTATTCTGCCCGTCTCTGTTAGAATTTCTCATCATTGAATCCATATATGATTTTCTCGATGCAATTTTTTTTATCATTCTTCTCCATTACAACTGCATACTCATACATCAAATATATTTTCAGGTCTTATTTGAAAATTTGACCATCTCCTTTGACTTTTTTAGAGTTGCACTCCAAAAAAAATTTACTCATCCTACGAGATTTCATATCTTTCTGACGCAAATCCTAATAAAAAATTTCTAACAATACACACTAATTAATATATGAATAGTTTCAACTTAGATTTGTTTTAGTCTTAAAGAATCCATTAAAAAAAGAGTGGATCGATTCCATAGGGTTGATAGATTTTCTTATTTATTTCTCTTATTGATACTTGTATTAGAGATAGATAAAAAAAAATGTTTTGATTACAAGTTAAAAGTCATATCTAACTTTAAAAAAAAAACACAATATTTTTATAATGTCAAAGCTAAAAAAGATTTTTTTAAAAATCTTTTAATAAATAACATAGGATGATACTAAGCTTTTTAAACACACAATATAAATATTTTATGCAAAGACTTGTTTGGATCAATCTTTAATAAAATTTGGCACGAGACAAGTCATTCCATAGTGTAGTACACTGGCACAAAATGAGGGAACCAATACCCAACCCGAATAAAAGCTAAACGACCCCACTAGAAAAAAGGTGGAGGAGGATGCGTCCAAACCACGAGAGTGTGCTTAATTACTCCCACAATAACTAAACATTAACGTAACTCAGAAAACAGTGCCCATGGATAGTGCGTAATTTACCACTACGACGCATCATAAATTTACTTCGTTTCGTTCATTTCCGCTATAACCCCCATTTCACTCTCTGATCATAATAACATAACACTCTCTTCTTCCTCTCATCAACTCCATGGTTTCCAAACCTAACGATTATCCTCTAATTCTTCATCATGTTAGTTTCATTTTTGCGATTTCTCATCTTCGTTTATCTTCAAATTTCGTTTATGTTCTGTTACCGATTTTAATTTGATTCCGTTAAACACTATACATATTACGTAATTTATATTTAATATGTAATATTTCATTTGCTTTATTGTATTGGAATTGAACTTTTTGATTTGTTGGAGACTCGGGATTTTGATTTTGGACTGTTTTTTTTTGTGTTTGTAGTTTGATTTTTGAAAAAGTAATAGTTTGTTATGAAATATTGACAGAAATTAATTGAAGAGGCGGGGGATGATGATGCTGTTGGAACCTTGTCCGCCAAGATAGATCAGTTGAAAAAGCAAATCCAGGCAGAGAGAATTCAGTTCATTGCTGTAAGTTTCTGATTGGGAATTTCAGTGTTCAATCTTGTGATTTTGATTCTTGGAAACGGCATAGCTTTTTGTACTTTGTTTTGCTGGCAAGATGTACTTTCACTGATAGTGTCATATAGTGAAATTGATGAGTTTGGATTGACAGTGAGTTTTACGAAATCGCAATGTGCCTCATGAGGCCACGGCAATTTCGTCAAACTCGCTATGATTCCAAACATGTACTTGTTATTCCATGCAAACTTCATTTTGGATCATTCCTGCGGAGAACTGGATTTGGATAGCTAGTGTTAATAAATCACATATGAAAGGCTAAAGTATGCTATAAGAGTGCCACATGAAATCTCTTTTGGTTTCTGTTTGCTTTTACATTGTGCTAATTTGTTTGATTATATGGGTGTGTGTGACTTTTATCAATGTTTTTTATTTAGCCGTGTTTCTGTGTTGAACTTTATGTTGTGTGACTGTTAAAGTAAACTTTAGTGTCGGGACCAAAAAATAGCATAAACTTTAGTGTCAACTGAAAAATTCAAGGTTGGGATAGCTTCTTTTTGCATACCATTCTGTTTGGTTTGCAGTTAATTGTAATCATTTTTCTGTAGGAAAAACTTCAGAGGAACCAGAAGAAGCTACAATGCCATATTTCAGGAATAATGTCAGCAGTATCAACCAGGGAGGACTCTTCACAGACGGAAGAAAACAGGACATGTGCAATTCTTTCTTCAAGAATGGACCGTCCTTTATGTAAATTCGATGGTTTTAACCATGTTTCAGGAGACAAAGACCACAGCAATCAAGACATATCATCTGTTACAAGCATCAGGATTCCACGTATTGAAAGATTGCCACCATATACATCGTGGATATTTTTGGATAGGTGATTCCCGTGTTTTGCCTGATGTGCCCTTTTTGACAAAGTGAAACTACCTACTGCTTGAGTATTTTGTATTTAAAAGTAGAATATGGAATTTCAAAACTTATTGATCAACAATGGGCATATACTTATTGAAACTACCTACTGCTTGAATACTGTTCAATAATGTATTTTCATATATTTTAAAATCTTTCACACGCAACAGGAATCAGAGAATGGCTGAAGATCAGTCAGTCGTTGGAAGAAGACGAATCTACTATGATCAACGTGGAAGTGAAGCATTGATATGTAGTGACAGTGAGGAGGAATTAACAGAACCTGAGGAAGTAAAACATGAATTTTGTGAGGCTGAAGACCGTATTTTATGGTAAGTAATAATCATGAAGGCTCATTCATTTATGAAGAAAGATTTAATGAAACAAGAACGTTTGATCTGGATTGTAATAATTGTGGTTAGCTATAGATTCGTTGATTAACATATTTAATTAATGAGTCACATAAATGCTCTGTTGGAGCATGCATGGTTTTCTCACTGCGCCTTCAGGAATTAAGACTTGTATCACAAGTCATGACCGCATAATTTTTAATACCAGATTTTAACTTAATAGCACATGATTTTCAACTTTATTCAAATGCTCTGTGTTTCTTGTTTCTAGAATTATTGTCTTGACTATTGAATTTTCTAGGATGGCATTTGAGGAACATGGGTTAAATGAGGAGGTACTGAATGTTGTTTGCAAGCATGTTGGGGGCACCACTTTAGAAATCCAGGTAATCCAGAATAACTTATAGGATTGACTATATGCTTGACTATTGTTAATCTTCGTCATCAAAAACAATATATTGCACCATGGAGATTTTTGGTGAGAAACCATTTTCATTTCTTGGAGAAATTATTTGCATGAAAAACACAGGAGAGGTACAAAAGTATCAAGGAAAATACTACTGGTAGGTTGGACCAGCATTCAAAAAGCTTAGGAGAACATGAGTCTCCTATGAGCATGTATCTAGAGAAAACCCTGAGTGATGCACTAGATTCTCTTGATAACCTTTTTTGTCGCCGATGCCTGGTATGTACAAAAGCATCATATTTTTAACATTGTCTTCAATTTCATAGTGAGTGCGTCTATACTTTTGTGGTTTCCTGCGACAGATTTTCGACTGTCGACTGCATGGCTGTTCTCAACCTTTGATATGTCCTGTAAGGAATAATGCCCTATATGTCATTTTCAACTTAATCTATGTTACTTCATCAATAAATTCATTTTGATGGTTTGCTTCACAGAGTGAAAAGCAAACTGTTTGGTCTGAGCCTGAAGGCAATAGGAAACCATGCGGTGATCAGTGTTACCTCCAGGTATTCTTCTTCTTTGTATTTTGAAGTATTTTTTATATTTGTGGGTGAGAAATTTCCGGAGATGAAAAAAAGTTAATTCAAATTATATTTTATTTTCCTTTGCTGGTATTTTGTTTAAGGTTTTCATTGACTTTGGAATCAGTGTGCAATCAATATGGTAGCTTTTCTATCTTCTGTTGATTAATGTTGGAATTAATTCTACTAAAAAAATTGTATGAAGCATAGCTTTAACAAAACTTGTTTACACTCTATACATGACGAACGATTCTGTGTGTACACTATCTTTTGCACCCAGTTACTAGTTCACCTCATCGATTTTTCTTTATTATATATTTGATTTAATTTAATAGGGAAAATGTGTAGAGTAAAGACTGACTGCCATTTCATTTTCCAGCAGTTAAATGTTGTAAAAAATTTGCCAAAAGATACAACTCCTGGATCTCTTTGGGATAAGAAAATTACAATTGTAGAGGAGACAAATGGGACAATGTCACCACCTTCCGCTGCCAAAGAACCTGGGAATCAGAGTACTAGACTTCCAACAAGACTTGATTGCCATGGATATCTTAATTTGAATGACAATGTCTCAGAAAATTCAGGGAAACGGAAAGTCACAAATCAGTTAGACTCAAGATTGCCTCCTGATTCTCAGAATTCTAGTAAAAAGCTAAAAAGAATCTCAGATGATGTAGTTACTGTAATTAGTGATAATAGCAAGAACCTAAACTTGGGTGCATGTGATGAAAATAAACATATAAATACTTGTGCAGTTTTGGACAAATCTGTTGAACGCTCTTCGAATAAAATAAAAGTTCCTTCTAGCACTTGCCACAGTGAGAATGACAAAGGTGTTTTGAATGGATCCAAAGTTGTCACAAATGAGACAGAACTTCAAAAGCCGTTGGATTCAATGGAAGGACAGGTTGATGAAATGGTAGGTTTCTCAGATTGGAAACCTCTAGAGAAAGAGTTATACTTGAAGGGAGTGGAAATGTTTGGCAGAAACAGGTATGTATCTTTCTGTGTTTCGCCTCACACGATTATGTTGATAAATGTTAGATGGCATCAAATTTAGTTTGAAGTGTGTGTGGTGACACTTTCTTGTTTCCAGTATGTGTTTTATGCTTCCCATTTTGTAAACTGCAAGACAGATTTTTTTAAATTATTATTTTCATTACTTTTTTTTGCTTTATATTTGAATTAATCCTTTATTTCTCCATAAATCCTAGAAATCCATTCTTCCTTTTAGCTTCACTTTAAACTACCCAGATTGTGACTAATGTTTCATAAGTGAATGGAATGAAAGAATAATTCTTTTTTTTTTTTGTCATAAATATTCCCTTGTCTTTATGTGCAATTCGTGCTCTGCAGTTGCCTCATAGCTAGGAACTTACTTTCTGGTTTGAAGACTTGCATGGAAATATCTAGTTACATGCATGATCGAGGAGTGTCAATGCCCCACAGATCCATCGCTGCAGCTAGTTCAATCATGGATGACGAGGGAAAATTTGACACAGAGTGCACAGTAAGCGCACAAGCTTTCCAATTCCCATCTTCTCTTCCCCTGCATTCTCATGTCTTGTATCGTTGTCTTGACTTTTTTTTTAATGTTTTTATATCTTCTTTTGCTGAAGACGTAAAGTAAAATTTTCCATTTGCTATTATGTACGAAAATACCTTCACTTTTACATTAGATTCACCTTTTATCTTCACTAACTAACTCTATTACATCATCTCAGTAACTATTACATCCCACACTTCAATTTTTGCACTTCACACTCAACAACAGGTGTCTTAGGCCTTCAAGAGTGCACTCTTAAGGCTTTGTGGTTGGGCTTTATCTGATGCAGAAGCATTTGGGATCTCAGTCCCGTTGTGCCATCTCTGATTGTAAATTACCTATGATTTTGTATTTATTGCCAAATAAAAGGGGTGTGTCTGGGTTTTACATGCATAGTAATTGAGTTGTGTTTTTGAGGCAACATATATTTTTTCATCTTTCTTACCTCTGTAGTTTCTTGTAGCCTTGGTAAGATTCTTGATATTCCTATTTTGTACAATGATTTTTTCAATTTTGTTTTAACTATATTACATTATTATCATGGAATGTTTTTCCTCTCAACTTCTAGCAACTTTTACGAGTACCATACTGTTTATTTGCCGCAAGAGTCCTTTTGAATGTGAGTTTTTGTGCTAGGACCAAGATATGCCATCTAGGTCACGGTTGCTGAGAAAAAGAGGCAAAACAAGGAAGTTTAAATATTCTTGGAAGTCTGCTGGTCACCCAACAACATGGAAAAGAATTGCTGATGGGAAAAACCAATCTTGCAAGCAGTATACGCCTTGTGAATGTCAATCAATGTGTGGAAAGGATTGTTCTTGTGTTAATGGTGGGACATGCTGTGAAAAATACTGTGGGTACGTAGCTTTTCATTTAACTCTGTAGCTTTTGTAGCAATGCAATGGGAGAGAAAACTACTGGATATTTCTTAATTCTCAGTGGCCGTCTTTTGGTTATTTGAATTATATTGTTGGGAAACTATGGGGGCTATGGATGAACTTTGATGAGGTTGGTCTGGATATATGGCCAAGTATGGTTTGACCTGTTTATATAAGATTTTGAATTCATTAAACAATAAACGATCATTTGTTTTGGACTGTCCATTTGTTTTGAACTGTCAGTATAAAGCTGCTGGTTCAATACTTCTTTTCATGTTTGCAAAGCTTCTATAAAATGCATTTCCAACTTGATTTGTGAACTGTTATCCTAGTAATGTAATTCTTAACAAATTATGATTTGAATATAACAATTTTTTTTATCTTCAGTTGTTCGAAGAGCTGCAAAAATCGTTTCAGAGGATGCCATTGTGCCAAGAGTCAATGCAGAAGTCGACAATGTCCATGCTTTGCTGCTGGACGTGAATGTGATCCAGACGTCTGTCGAAACTGTTGGGTTAGGTGATGTACCAAATCTTTTGCTTTAAATATAATGTTATGCCACTCGGTTTTTGAATTACATGTCTTGATTCTATTACATTGCCTGCTTTAGGAAGTCATATTCGTTCACACTTCTTCCGTCCCAAAATAATTGATCAAGGTGGACAATTCACAGATTAAAAAAAAAGTATAAATGAAAGAGAGAGATAATATTTTTTATTAAAGTATCCTATATCATATTGATTATTCACCTTTACTATAAATACAAAGTGGAACATATTTAATTGAAAGTGATGCAAGTAATATTAATTAGGGAGTATGATTGGAAGAATAACAATTAATGTTGAATTGATAATTGAAAGGGATCAGTCATTTTAGGAAAGAGGGGATCATATTTTTAGATATCATCTTGCTTAGATATATCATGCCAACCCTTTGTGATTTTTCTTATCTTGCTGGTCTCGCTGGAGTAGCACTACATAAACTGCTTGTTTAGCCTATCTGTTTCTTTAAAAAGATTATTTATCATATTACTTTTTTGTTACAATAATTTAACTCCATATTTAATTAAAACTTTGAGTCTTCTATTGACTATTAGTACAACTAATGATCAGCATTCAATATTTTTGTATCAGATCATAAATATCAAATTACATTCACAATTTGAAGTCTTAACTATTTTGCTATTGAATTCCCACAAGAATGAAAAAAATTTATTCAAATTCGGAACTTAAATCATATTATTAACCATGCACAAATTCCAACCATTTTTCTCACTCCTACATTATGTCATCTTTCGGCTGTGTCTTGAAGCTCTCTTCCTCCTCCGTATCACCATATCGATATGTTTTGATTTTGAAGCTCTTCTCAGCCATTTCATCCTTTTGGCTTGTTTAGATTTTCCTCTCCACCGTGTCATCTTTCTGACTTGTTAAGAATTCCTCTGTCGTGCGATCTTTATTCGGCTTGGTTCCTGTCATTCTTGCATAGACTGTTTTGGTTTTAATTTCGGTTTTGCATAGGTTTTGTCTCAGTTCTAGTCTGACACCAGTTTTGTCTTAGCTATGGCTTGACACTGGTTTTGTCTTGGTCGCAGTCTGATACGAATTAGTTTGTTCCAGTTAGCACTACTTTTTCCCCTATTGTGGTCTGGCCCTAGCTTTGATCTCAATTCGTGTTCCATACGTGATCCGGAACTACCAACTTTCCCTATTAAATAACATTAGTTCTATTTTCTCTTTCAAAGAGCACATTTGTAATAATTAAGCTTAAAGCTTAGTAAGCTTATTGTCTTGAAGAGGAGTTTTAGAATATGTACAAATATCTTATATTATCTTGATATTGTCTTAAGGTTTAGGGTTTATTCCTATTTCAATCCTGAATAATAGTCTTCTATTAGTATAGATAAAGATCAGTGTTTACTCTTTGTCTATGAAATCACAACTACCATTATATCAAATTATATTCAAAATAAGTTTACTTTTCCTCTTCCCTCCTTAACCGTGAAATGATAATCTCTACATCACCTTTATCTTGTAGTTTGATACCACTTTATTTCTCTTTAGTTATGTATCGGTTTGAACTTTGTCAAGTGTCTAACTTTTACAATTTGTTTGGATTTTGGATTCCACCATCCGCCTTAAATCATCACAAATGCCTTTAAATAATGCACTCTTTGTACAGCTGTGGGGATGGCACATTGGGGGAGCCACCGCGGCGTGGAGAAGGTCAATGCGGAAATATGAGACTTCTTTTAAGGCAACAACAGAGGGTTAGTAATTCTGAGTTGATGTATTAATTATTTGCATGCCGTTGTCATAAATCAAAGTGATGAGTATCTAATGCATGTGATTTGTCTCGCATTGTTTTTATTTATGTTTGTCAGATTCTCTTGGGGAAGTCGGATGTTGCAGGATGGGGAGCCTTCTTGAAGGTTATGATTACTGGATTTATTTGTTTTCTAATAATGTTAGCTTGTTCTGCTAACTAACTTGATGATAATATTTCAGAATCCTGTTAACAAAAATGATTACCTAGGAGAGTACACAGGTGAATTGATCTCACACAGAGAAGCTGATAAGCGTGGAAAAATATATGATCGTGCGAACTCATCTTTCCTTTTCGATTTGAATGAGCAGGTATATGTCTTGCATGATCTGGATTTTCTCTTAACTTGAGCTGCTCTTGGTTTCCTCCTCATTGACTTGAGTTCCTTATATTTAATGAGTGTGATCATACATTTTCTAATGTATGTTAGGTTTCATCAACAAGTCCCTTCCCTCACATTTCTTTCTTCGCAAGCCATAACACATTTGGATTTCAAACTGATTATTGTCGAACTTGAATCTGCTTTCTGTTTCTGTTTCTTCACCAGTTTGTTCTTGATGCTTATCGGAAAGGAGACAAGTTGAAATTTGCAAACCACTCATCAAACCCCAACTGCCATGCAAAGGTGAGTCCGGTAAATCAGATTGTGGGAGAGGTTTAAAACTTACCTTTTGGGTTTTGTAGCTTGAACATGATCTTTGAATTGTCACAAACAATGATTTCCCTCTTGTACTGCTGCCACAGGTGATTTTAGTTGCTGGAGATCATCGGGTTGGCATATTTGCCAAGGAACACATTGATGCCAGTGAGGAGCTCTTCTATGATTATCGCTATGGTCCAGATCAAGCACCTCCATGGGCTCGTAAACCTGAGGGTTCCAAGAGAGACGAATCAGAAGGTAGGGCAAAGAAACATCAATCCCATTGATGAGCCACAACCAATGTCCATCATACACAAACTTTGTGGCTTCTACCAAATACATTAGCAACAAAAACTTGTGACATCTCATGGTAATATTTGAGCAACTGTTTCTGAAAAGGAAAGTAATAATTTATTTGGCGATGCTAATATTCCTTGAAATTATGGATATAGGCACATTTAGACAATAAAATGGGTAATAGATGAGGCAGATCAGTGTTAAAAGCAATAAGCTAGAAATTAGCTTAGCAGTTAGTAACTCACTTATAAATTTCTTTGAATGCAAAGCATATCTATTCTTCCAGACATGTTTCCTGATTTGGCATAATTTTTTCATGAATAATATGAATCTTCTTAATAGTGTAATAGATAAACCTTTCTTGAATAAAATCCACATTGATAATCTCTCTAAGGGATTTATTTTTCAGAATGAATGGATGAATACATGGACTTTCTACTAAGAAGTATTCAAATTTTGAAACTTGGTCATGGGGTTATTCCTAATTACAACTCCAGTCAAAGTTGCGTGAACAGTTACTTTAAACTAATAGATAAAAATATCATTTACCACAGGTTTTAAATAACATTTATAAATTACAGAGCTTCTTATTACTAATAATAGTGAATATTAATATTGTTTAAGAAAATAGATGGTAAATTAACATATATTTATAGAGAATGAAATAGGGGTGGTAAAACGGGCTGTCTGTCCGTCATGCGCCGCCTATGTCCGTCAAAAAAGAGGGCAGGACGGGCGAGCCCGTCAAGTGAAATTGGGTTAACAAATCGAGCCCGTTCTGTTAAGGTGAAGGGTTGGCGGGTGACAGACTTGTTTACCTATTTTTTTATTTTTCTTTTTTAAAATTAATTAATAGGTTTTTTTTTATAGATTTTTGACTTGTTTTTTAGAATAATTTTTTATAAACTGTCAAAGAACAAAAGTAAGAACAAGTATTGGTAGTTCCAGATTCAGCTTTTTAAAATAGAATGACTTAAGTGTTGAAGATTTCAAATTTTACTTTATATTTGTTAATATCAATGGTATTTTCAAATTCTGAAATCTCTAATTTTATTGTGTTTATAAACAAAATAAATGGAATGGATTAGAATGATTATATATATATATATATATATATATATATATATATATATATATATATATATATATATATATATATATATATATATATATGACTCAAAATCAAAACATATTATATTATATAGGTCATACAACATGAAGTCTTTGTACTTGCTATTTGAAAATATAAACTTATCTCTTGGATTTGATAATATCCTCTATTATGAAAGAATGAATGACAAAGAACGGAGAATAATTGTGAGCTGTGGATTTTAACGCTAACTCACACATTGTTTTCTACCAAACATGAAAGTATCAATTTTTAGTTTGTTTAGAGTAGTCCACTTTCACGCTCTTTCTTTTTGTATGACTATTCCTTCGTAATATTTAGAACTGTTAATATGATTTATCTAATATTATCTCAAATACGTCATTTTTAAGTTTAAAAAGTAATTTCATGAACCAATTTATTTAAACAATTTGCATTACGTGATTACTTCAATAATATACATTCATAGTATGTCATTCTTTAGGATTATCTATAACAAGAAATCCAGATAATCTCTGTTTAATAATGATAGAACAAAGAAACATATTGTGAAAGTCATCATCACTAGTAAATAATCTTGTTTAATTAAATAAAACATATGCATACTAGGGATGATAAAATGGACCGTGATCCACAGGTCGACTCGATTAATGTGCATAATGGATTGCGGTGGGTGTGCAGGACATATTACGACAAGTAAATGGGTCTAAATCTCAACCTAATTTGAAGTACAAAGAGTTTATGATATTTATTTTGTTGATTCACAAGAAACTATCATTAATTAAAAAAAAAAAAAGTAACTCTACCAAAATATTTCTATTTGTCCATGCACTCTAAAAGCGTGCTCAATTTAATATTCAAAAGACTTGATTTGAAACGATCATGCTATAATTTTTAGGATGGTCCTTCTTGTAATTTTATATTAGGCCATATGATATATATTTTCAGGATGGTTCCTCTTGTAATTTATATTTTCAATTTATTGTTTTGTATTGTACACCTTTCATTTTTATATTATACGTAAAAATTGACTTTTTATATTTATTAAATAATTTCAAATAAATAATTATTTAATAAATAAAAAAAATTATAATAAAGAATGAGCAGAGTATATTATAGTCGGAGTATTTTTAGGGAATTTCTCATTATATCTTTATTAATTCTTTTAGGTCTCATATAAAACTTCTAAAATGTCTCTATCTTCGGAGGTATATCTCCGAACGTACAATTTTTTTTATTTTATCTAATGGTTAATTTAGAGATGTATCTGCGAAGGAGTTTTGCAGTGTTCGCAGATATATTTCCGATTTTTTTAATTTAAAAAAATATTTCGGAGATACATTTCAGAACGAGTCAAATCTAATTAAACGCATGCCGGACTTTTCCTCCTCTCCTTCTTCATTTCAGTTCAGAATTTTTTTTTACCCTATTTGAGCTCGTGAATACAATAGGTCGACTCAACTTTTGAAGCAACTTCAGAACCTCCGCTTGTATCTTGCCAATCCCAACTCCCTCTAACTACTACATTTAATACTTTACACTCTCATTAACACATTTTGGAGTAAGTTTATCATTTAGATTATTTTGAGTTTTGATTAATGTATTAGGTCAAATAGGTTACTTTTAATGCATTAAATAGTATTAGCATTTAAAATAGATAATGTGTAGGATTTATTTCTTTCATTTGGATGATTTGGATGAGTTTGAGATGACTAGGGCAAGTGCAGAGAAGTTTTTTCCTTTGAAATAAAAAATAATGTTTTTTCGAAGATGTATCTTAGAAATGTGTTCTTTGTGGTGTTTGGAGATAGGGGTGTACATGGGTTGGATAAACCCAATAAACCCACTAAGACCTACCCAAACTGACTCAAAAAGATGGATTGGGTTATTGGGTGAATACGATTTTTAAAAATGAAAACCCATCTCACATTCATAAAACCCATGGGTTATTGAGTGACTATTTTTCTCTCTCTTTTTATTAATTTGATAAGTGGTGTCTTTCATGTTTTTAATCTTGGTTGCTTCACTTTCAATCCTTTGAACATCTTTTATTTTGTAAGCAATGATTTTAACTTATTTAGAATGACACACTTTGATTATTTTGATGCTAATTATTGTTAGTTGCAAATATTTTATGCAATTCTAGTTATTATTGTAGTGTAACTTTAATTTTTGAAAATATGTTTTTGATGAATTTTATCGTGCATTTAGACATTTGATGTTTAAAAAATAGCAGTAATATATTAAAATATTTATTAAGAAAAAATGTAACACATCATTAATAATTATATAATAAATAAAAAAATTAGGTAACTCACTAACCAACCCAATCCAACCCACAAATTTGTGGTTTTACCCAAATCGACCCAATGATATCGTGTGTGGTTATTTTACCTCATCCAAATTAGTGTACCATGTACGGGTTGATTTATGGTTTTGGATAAATTTAATCCAAACTAACCCATGTACACCCCTATTTGGAGATTCGTCTCAAAATTCTTTCCTTCCTGATGAACTAATATCTTTTGTTATGTTTTTTACAAGAAAAATGGTTGGAAACAACAACAGGATGAGATTGGGTCGTGAAACCCTAACCGCGTCTACCCGCCGTGAGAGGGCTCTTTAGCATGAGCAGACTATATGTATGGGAGAGTCATCCCTATGCCTCACGACAGGGAAGTGTCGACTACCAAGAGCCGATTATCACACGGGTCGTCATCCCAGGCCCGTGCTGTACAGGAGGAGGAGGTCCCAACTGCACAGGAGGTCCCATTTGCACATGATGATCTCGGTATCCTTCCACTTACAGACCCTTATTTAGGAGGGCCCACTGACACATCGTTAGTGATATACTTTGGAGATCATGTTGCTCCGCATGTCTGGGAGGGATAAGTATATTTCTTAACAATTCAAAAAAAATTTTAACCAAATTTTTTTTGACTGAGATTGTTATATTTTATTTTCAACAGGAACACAAGTGTTTGAAACATTCTAGAAAGAATCACAGGCTTGATTAACCTCAAGAAGAGTGGATCCTTAGTGTGCTCTGGTACTCTGATCTTGTAGGTCATTGTTCTTCCAGGTAAAACATCATAAACGATGGCATGCAGGCGACATTTGGTGAGAGTGATAATTTCCAAATCCCACTATTAATTTAAAAACAATTTGTTTACACTTGTTACTGTTTTTTTTTTGCTTATTCATTTTCAAGGATGAATCTTAGACCACTATCACCGCATACATGGGTTTTGGCATGACCCATCGTATACTGAGGATTACCCATGTGCTTGCCTATATCTCTCGTGCATAGGGAATGATTTTGTGGTGTAGTTCTGTGTGTATATTGATCGGACTCAACATGATGACATCGTCTAGATGCCATACACTACTCACCGGGAAAGAGTTACATTCGACCATATTGCATTATACTCTGGATGGCTGCTATGTGGGACTAATATCATGTGCAAGTATCTGTCAGACGGGTGCGTGCAGCGGTTTGAGCACGTGCAGATCATTTTGAGGCTCCCCTTCCAGGATGCTCCTGAGATCATTGTTTGTATACAACTGGATGACATTATGGAATATTTTGAGAGTCGTTTGATACCGGAGGAGTATCGGAGTCAGGAAGCCACAATTGAGTGGCATTAAGTTGAGGGTTACATGACTTGGTTCTATTATGTGTCACACCTTTACATGATACCATATGCTCCTGGAAGTTCGCCTAGGCTTGCTCTTGAGAAGATCTTGGAGAATGAGAAAGCCAGGGATGACCATGCAATTGATATATTACCAATTTGTCAGAATATTTTGCGGATGACATGAGAGGGCATCGAGTATGAGCTGTTTGAGAGAGGTGGCGATGAAACAGTGTCCCTATCACAT